GACATAATCTCCATATTCGACCGTCTCCACTGCCTCCCCAAATACCTCGCTTGCATCTTCAATAATTTCAATACGTACACTTGAAACACTGCCTGAAACATTCCAAAAAGTAATAATAACAATAATAAATAATAATAAACAACAATAAATAATAATAAACAATAACAATAATAATAAATAACAAACTACCAACCAGTCTAACCCTAAGCGACCTCTTCAAAATCGGAGCCGATTTGAACACGACCAGCATCATCGTCCTTGAATGCTTCCACTTCGTCAGCTTATTCAGCACCCTCAACAGATTTATCGTCGAAAATACATTCCTCCACAAATAATACGACTCGCTGCCCGAGTCAACCTCCTCCACATTGTCCACGTTTAACACTGGCCATTCGTCTACAATTCTATTCATTATAACTATATATAACTATAAATAATAATAAATAATAACAATAAATAATAATACATAACAATAAATAATAATAATCAATAATAAACAATAACAAAAGTATCTCAAAAAGCACACACGCACGCATGCACCTATGCTCAGCGATGGGCGGAGCCTACGCCAATATACAAGCCACGCCCATCTCTTGCACACGCGCGCGCTCATCTCAGACAATACAACTTAACGGACGATAATACAACACCAAATGATAACAATAATAAATAATAACAACAATAATAAATAACAATAATCATATCATTAATAATAAATAATAACAATGTATAATAACAAATAACAAATAATAAAAATAAACCAACCATGATTCCTGACGTAATGCAGAGGTGCCCGTGGGTAGTTGAAGGGTAACAGCTCGTGTTTCGACTGTACATACCTGACCATGTTCTGATCGAGGAACTTTAATATCAAAGGAATACAGTTGGCAAATACCAAATGCTGAGAGAGGTACTCGAATTGATAGACGTGATTCAGTCGTAGGTGTTTCATNGATCGATGAGGCGGCCTTCACCATTATCTGTTATAATTATTATTATTAATAATTAATAATAATAATTAATAATAATAACAATTAATAATAATAATAAATAATATCAATAAATATTACACTCTCTTAAATATTTTTAAATAACTTATTGGACCGAAGCCCCGCCCACTGCACACGCACACATGCAAATGCATGCGCAGAGTGGGTGTGGCTTTAAATTTGGCGAAACGTTATTAACAATGCCCCGCCCACAAAAATTGGCGAATCCACCCAACAACCTTTTCCACCAACTTAACTTTAGACACATGATATACAATAATAACAACTAATAATAATAAATAGTAAACAATAAATAATAAAAGCAATAAATAATAATAAATATATAATAACAATAAAAATAAAAATAACCTCCTTATGTCTATTCACATCAATCGCAATCCTCACACTCTGCTCCAAAATATTCGTCAACGAGCTATCGAAATTAATCGAATTCGATAACACCTCATTGTTATCCGTTTCGGGCGTTAATACATCCGACAATATATTTATCGCCTCACTCTTCGCCTTTAAATTACACTATATCAATAATCATAACAACAATAATTAATTAATTAATTAATTAATAACAACAATTAACTTCACAACCTCATAATAACAACACAATAAATACAATAAATAACTCCAAAATAACCTCAAAACATCAAAAAATACCACCAAAACACCAACTAATAATAATAAACATAATAAAAATAACAAAAAATAATAAAAATAAAAGTAATAAAATAACAAAAATAAAACTAATAACACTAAAATAAATCACCTTCGACGACGGTGCCGCGGCCAGCAGCACCTTTAGCAGCGCAATAATGTACTGACTCAAATTCGGCAGCATCATTCTATACAATTGCTCTGTTACGTTCATTTCAATGCCCGTTTCGCGTTGCGAGAATACGTATCGATTCAACGACTTCTCACGTTCCGCCTTAATTATTTATTATATTTATTACATATACACATTAATAATATATATTAATAATAAATAATAAAAATATACAATAATAAATAATAATAATAATAATAAAACCCACCTGAATATCACCCAACGACACATAAACATGTCTTCGTAACGCCTCAACGCTCCGTTGGATCGGTTCGGGCAATCCGAACACGGTTTTCGAATCCGATGGCAAACAGTAGCCGAAAAATTTCATCCTGAAATTAAATTTTTTAAAATATTATTTACAATAATAAATAATAACAATAACAATAATAATAATAAATAACAATAATAATAATAAATAATAAAAAATACCTTTCGTGCTGCAAAAACGACTCAATATCCTCCTCCCTCACCTTCGGCTGCCACGGCAACGACGGCCGAAACAGCACTTCCATCGGGGGCGGGGTTCCGGCTATTGGCGTGCGTTCACCAGATGACGTCACACTTAATTATATTAAATAACAATAAATAATATACAATAATAAATAATATACAATAATAATAATAAATAATAATAAACAATAATAAATATAATAAATAATACAGCCCAATTCCGTACCTTAGTAATGGATTCGCCCTTCTGGATGATTTTGCTGCGGTTGTACTCGACGGGGTACCTGGTATGGGCGTGCCTGGCTCTGGGGCTGGCATATCTATAATAATTATTATATATATAATAATAATGTATAATAATAAATATATATAATAATAAATATATAATATTAATAATTATTGTTAAACGCACCCTTTTTAATGGCCCCGCCCACCGTCTGCGCTGTCTCCTTTTCGGCGGCGTTTTTATCATCTGTCACCCCTGTTTCACAGCCAGCTATTAATTCCCCGATGACGTCATCCTCTAATGACGTCAGCTCTTCCTCTCCAATTGAATCCCGTGGCAAATCGTCCTCACCCACACCACGCCCACCATCTGCATCCGTATCCGAGTCTGACCTGGCCACGCCCCTTCCGTGCCGCTCTTCATCTATTGGCTTATCTCCAGATGGTGCTAAATAATAATAAATAATAACAATAATAATTAATAATAATATAAAATAATAATAAATAATAATAAATATAACCCACTCAAGTCATCGAAGTCATCCTTCGAATCTTCTGACCCTGTACACGCCAATTGTCTACCGATCAACCGCGCGCTTGGATGTGCCGTTGTGGAGCGTCGCGGTCTTGCCACGCCTCAAATTTACAATAACAATAAATAATAACAATAATAATAATAATAAAAACAATAATAATATATAATAAAAACAATAATAAATAACAAAAATAACCTACCCAACGCCCCATTCCCCTGCTCCAAATCCGTCCCGTGAATGATCGATGCCCTCATCGCTCCGCCCACTAGCAAAGTGTCCTCTACCGTCCCAAGCCCCGCCCCCTTCCTCTTCTTTTCCTTCGCCTCTCTTAGCTCCTTCCACCCACCCAATATTGTCAGCAACACCTTCCATACCAATAATAATACCTTAATATTTATTATTTTTATACATTAATAAAATGACACTAAAATGACAAAAATGACAAAAATGACACCAAAATGACAAAAATGACAACAAACAAACAAACAAAACAATAAAAATTCACCTTCTTCATCGGGAAATGCGGACTAGTGCCGTGACAAAACGCCGGCATCATCTCAAACAACACCATCACCAGTGGCTGACCCACATTATCGATGGGTTGTTCTGCATTTATAACTTCATTATTATACATAATTAATAATAAATATTATATAAAACAATAAAAAATAATAAATAAACAATAAAAACAATAAAATAACAACAAAAAAACTCACCCAACTCCTCAATAAACGACTCCCTGAGCGCCCCCCAGGCCGCCCTCCTCTCGCCCGGCACCACCATCTCAAAGAGGTCCACCCTCCGGATCGACTCCACCAAATGATACAACGCACTCAACACCACACG